AGGAGGTAAGGACAAAACTTGGCTGCTGCTTGGAAGCCGAGCCATCTGTTGAGCAAGGATCCGTGTGTCTGGCAGCTCCCTGAACGAGGGACCCTGTACAGACAAACAGCTGAACGGTGTGTGTCTGTCTGACGCCTGTGAAGCTGCAGATAGTGCAGGGTGGGGACAGTTAAAACTTTCCACAGTCCGAGCAGAGGCTGAGAGCTGGAGGATCCCTTATCTAGGCACATCCAGGGAGCAGGGCGTGTGTGCAGGCCAGGTCCTGGGGTACTGGCCCCGAGCCCCTCTGACTGCATCACCGCTGGCAGCGTCTCCCCTACCTTGTCCTAGCTCTGGCACTGCAGTGCAGGGCCTAGTGGAATTAATAGACAGCCGGTTTAATGCAAACAAGCGGAAGTGTTTTTTTCACACAACGCATAGTCAGCCTGTGGAACTTGTTGCCAGGGGATGTTGTGAAGGCTAAAACTATAACGGGTCCAAAAGGAATTAGATCAGTTCCTGGAGGATGGTCCATCAATGGCTATTGGCCAAGATGGTCAGTGACACAACCCCATGCTCTGTGTCCCTAAATCCGACTGTCAGAACCTGGGACTGGATGACGGGACGGGTCACTCGATAATTGCCCTGTTCTGTTCTTTCCCTCTGAGACATCTGGTGCCAGCCACTGTTAGAAGACAGGCTCCTGGGCTATCTGGACTATGGGTCTGACCTGAGGAATTAACACAGGGAGGGGTGGGGGGCTCATTTCTTTGCAGATAGAATTGGGGAGGTCAGTAAATCATCAGATTAAAACAAAATGTTTGTGCTAAATAAGTAAATATTTAGGCTAAAAAACCAAACTGTCTCAGCCATCTCCCATGGGGGAGAACACCCAGGAAACTGTTTCGTTTTTTTGTTCTTTAGTTTATATTCAAGTTTTACAAATGTAATGATGAGGAAAAGAGGAAATCGAATCATAAACAGCGCATGCAGCACAGGAAGTGGTTTAAGCCAATCCAAAACTGTATAATGCAATGGACAGTACATGCAATAAAATGTCATTGTATATTTTTAAAAATGGTTTCTGTGTAACTTTGAAGCTGTAATGAACCCTGCATCCCACCCCCCCATGTTTGTCTAATCATCTCAGCATAGAACTGCTGAATGCCAAATAAAGTATGTCAGAAGCAAGAAGCCTGCCAAACAATCAGTGGGGCTACTGGATGATTGAGGTGCTAAAGGAAGACAAGGCCGTTGCAGAGAAGCAAAATGAATTCTTTGTGTCCATCTTCACCACAGCGAATGTGAGGGCAATTTCCCACGCGATTCCTTTTTAAGGTGCCAGATCGGAGGAGCTGTCCCAGATTGAGGTGTCAGTAGAGGAGGGTTTGGAACAAATTGATCAATTTAACAGTAAGATGTCACCAAGACCTGATGGTATCACCCAAAAATTCTGGAGGAACTCAGATATGAAATTGCAGAACTACTAACTCTGGTATGTAATATATAGTTTAAATCCGCCTCTGCACCAGATGACTGGTGAAAGCAAACATGATGCTGAAGTTTAAAACAAGTCTCCAGAGGCAATCCTGGCAATTACAGGCAGGTAAGCCTAACTTCAGTACCAGGCAAATTGGTTGGTTGAAACTATAGTAAAGAACAAAATTACCAGCGCCTGAGCTGAACATGATTTGTTGCAGAAGAGTCAACACACATTTTGTAAAGCGAAATCACGCCTCACCAATCTATTAGAATTCTTTGACGGGGGGCAACAGCCCTGTGGCCAAGGGGGATCCAGTGGACACAATGTACTTGGACTTTCAGAAAGCCTTTGACAAGGTCCCACTCTAACATCTCTTAAACGAAGTGAGCAGTCATGGGCTGAGAGGGAATGTCCTCTTGTGGATCAGTAACTGGTTAAAAGATAGGAAACAAAGGGGTAGGAATAAATGGTCAGTTTTCACAGTGGCAAGAGGTAAATAACAGGGTCTGTACTGGGACCAATGCTGTTCAACATAGTTATAAATGATCTGGAAAAAGGGGTAAACAGTGAGAGAGCAAAAGTTGCAGATGGTACAAAACTACTCAAGATAGTTACAAAGCAGCCTGCAAAGAACTACAAATGGATCTCTCAAAACGGTGACTGGGCAAAAAAGCAGCTGATGAAATTCAATGTTGATAAATGCAAAGTGATGCATGTTGGAAACAATCATCCTAACTCTACATACCAACTAATGGGGTCCACATTAGCTGTTACCACTCAAGAAAGAGATCTGAGTCATTGTGGATAGTTCTCTGAAAACATCCACTCAATGTGCAGCGGCAGTCAAAAAAGCAAACAGCGTTTTGGGAATAATTAGGAAAGGAATACATAATAAGACAATATCATAATGCTGCTATATAAATCCATAGTACGCCCACCTCCTGAATACTGGGGGCAGGTCTGGTCACCCCCTTTCAAAAAAGATGTATTGGAATTGGAAAAAGTACAAAGAAGGGCAACAAATAATATTGGGGGTATGGAACAGCTTCTATCTGAGGAGAGATTAAAAAGACTGGGACTGTTCAGCTTGGAAAAGAGATGACTAAGGGGGGGATACGACAGAGGTCTATAAAATCATGACTGGTGCAGAAAGTGAATCGGGAAGTGTTATTTACCCCTCCCCTAACACACAAACCAGGGGTCATGCAATGAAATGAATAGGCAGCAGGTTTAAAACAAACACAAGGAAGTACTTCTTCACACAATGCATAGTCAGTCTGTGGAACTCAGTGCCAGGAGATGTTGTGAAGGCCACAAGTAAAATTGGATTACACAAAGAATTCCCTACATTCATGGAGGATGGTCCATCAGTGGCTATTAGCCAGGCTGGGCAGGGACACAACTCAGGCACTGGCTGTCCCTAAATCTGACGACCAGAAGCTGGGACTGGAGACGGGATGGAGCACTCGATGAATTGCCCTGTTCTGTTCATTCCCTCTGATACGTCTGGCACCGGTCACTGTTAGAAGACAGATCGCTGGGCTATTGGGCTGACCCAGTGTGGCCGGACCTGCCAGGGGGCTCCTGTCCCGTAAACCAGCACAAGTTGAAAGTCTCCTGGGTGCTACCAGCTGGTTCCCCCAGGCTGGCGCTGTGGGACACCTCCTGCCTATCCCAGCTCCTGGGAAAACAGGAGCCCCACCCCTGTTCCCTGCCAGGATCAGAGCAGCTCCAGCCTGGGGTCCTACTGCAACCTGGGCAGTGCCGAGGTGTTGGCAGGGCTGCTGGGAGAGCACAGGCTCCCACCCAGGTGCCAGGGCAGGGCCTCTGATAAGCAGCTGGCTCTTGCCTATCAGCAACTCCTCCGCAGAGCGCCCCATCCAGCCCCTTATCACAGGCCCCGCAGGCGAGCGGCTTCCAGGAACCCTGAGCCCCACCCCTCTGCCAGGCCAAAGAACCGGCCAGCAAACAGGCACGCAGGCCACGCACACAGTGACCCCCCAGATGTGTGCCCCCCAGATGTTCTACCCCAGGGTTCCAGTGGAGGAGCCTGCACTCAGCTGGGTTGAGGTGACCAGGCATCCCGCCAGCCACCCTCCCACCCCCAAGGCTGAGCCCTGCTCTGTGGCTGGGCATGTGGACACATGGACACCCACGTCTGTCCCTACCCAACCTAGATGCCACCAGCTATACCGGTGCTGAGTCCCTCTGAAATAGCCTGCTCGGCACCAAGAACAGCCTCTATACCCCCCGTTGGCTGTGCCTAGCTTGGCCCCCTGCCTCAGTGGCTCTCCTAAGAGGCATTTGCAATGGCCCAATGGCAGGGGGGACCAGAGCAACCCCAGGGGCTCCGGTCGAATCGCCCAAGCTTGGTTCTCAGGGCTACTGAGCCTGCAGCTTCCACAGGCAATTTCAGGGCACACCAGGGAAATGAGCCATGCCTGGCTGGGGGCAGGGGCAGGGCTCCCAGGGAGGCACTGCGCGTGTAGTGCTGTCACAGGTGCCAGTGCCTAGACCTGCGGGGACGGGAGCCACCCATGTCAGGGTTGTCCCTGGATGGGTCTGGGATGCCTACGGTCGGGGGCAGGGATTGTGTCAGGCTGGGGGGGGAAGAGGGGGGCGCTTTGGTTTGTGCTGCACGTATCCTGCTAGCTAATGGGGTTTCCTTTTGGAAAAAAGCAAGACCATTTGGAAGTTGACAACCGCCAAGCTCTGGGCCAGCAGGGGTCTCTGGTTCCTGGTCAGAGCCATGGTCAGGGCCCAGCTTTGTAGCCCTGGGCTGGTTGTTTGGTGGCCCACACATGGAATGAGTTTAGTGGGTCTTAGCCCAGCTCCTAGCAGACGGGTGCCCTGGCCCAAACACCATGGCTATAACCAGCCCAAATTGGAACTGGGGCCTGTTCTTGGCAGGCTGGGCAGAGAGTGGCCCCTGGGGCATGAGCACCCCTGGCCCTAGCGCTCCTCTCTCCAGGATACGTTAGTGGGGTGGGGGGAAGAACTGCTCCGGCTGCTCGGTTTCCAGGGCCCCTCCCGCTGGTGCCCAAGTCCTCCCACTCTCGCAGTGTGCGAATGCGTGTGCTAGCCCTGGAGCAGGGGCCAGGCCCCTGGGCGCTGCTGGCCGTGGGCCAGGGCACTTGGGCTGGGCTCCTTTTGACAGCAGTCCTGGGGAATGTGTGTAATGACACCCCAAGTTCTGGTGCAGCTATCACAGGCCATTTACCAAGGGGAAGAACTTGCCCCTGCATCCAGGCCTTGCCAGTGCTTCTCTGACCCAGGGGAGCAAGGCGGGGGGCAGTGCTGCTGGGCCAGGTGGTTGGTGTGGGGGTTGTGCCCATGTGCAAGGGGCTAGCTCCACACCAAGCAGACAGGAGCCCAGGAAGCAGCCTCAGTCGCTGTCCCCACAGCTCTGTCGTTTCCTGGGCAGACTCTTGGTTGCAGCTGCACCAAAGCCCCGAAGGAAAGGGTTAAAAGGGGGAGGGCCCAATATGAGCAGATACTTGATATGCAAATGAGGCCAGAGTAGGTATTATAAGTGACTCAGCGGGAGGCCCTGGCTCTGGAGTGGAAAGAAGGAGCCCACTCCCCCCGGCCGGAGCCAGGTAAGTGCCCCGAGCCTGCTCTGCCTTCCTGAGGCTCACCAGCAGGGGCCTTGCTCTCTTTGATTCTTTTGATTCTTCCCTTTAATGACATGTCCGTAGTCCCCAGGGGTGAACCTGCTCTGCTCTGGCCCATCAGGGTGAGTTGGCTGCATCCCGTCCCACCCCACTGGAGACTCCCGGGGGCGGGTGGGTCACATTTGAAGAGAGCTTGGACTCTGCTACATGCTACTATCCCCTGGCCTGGGTGGTAACTGCCACGTGCTTGTTCAGTCTTCCTGGGGCAGGTTCTGCCAGGGCTGGTCCCTGGAGATTCCAGAGGGAAGCTGGTTCTCCTGGTGATGGCAGCCAGGCTAAGGGAAAGGGGCTCTGGCAGTGCCCCCTTAGACTTCCCCAGAGCTGCAACAGTGGGGCAGCCCCAGCAGAGAGGCCTGGGGCCCCTGGTGCTGCTTTATCACAGGCTGGACTTTCGTGGTTTGCTCCCTTAAGTCCCAGCTCCCTCTCAGCAGCCAGCAGGCATCTGACAATCTCTGCACTAGGGAACAGAGAGGGGCCTCTCGACATGAGAGGGGGGAATGTCCCAGCTCTGTGTACCCCTGACTTGTGGGGGGCCAGGAAGCTGGCTCTGTGCCCATCTCTGCACTGTGGGTGTGGAAGCTCTGTTTGGAGGCTGGGGCATTGCGTGCGGAAAGGCCTGTGTTATGGGGCTCCCTTCTCCAGGAGCACTCCCTGCTCTGTGTGTCTGAGGGGCACTGCCACGTCCAGTGCTCACGCTGCTCTGGGAAGCCCTTTGGCAGGAGGCTGGTGCTGGCTGGGGATGGTAACTGGAGGGTAATGCCCCACACGCCTCCCTTGGATGCCAGGAGGGCAGGACAAGCAAGGCCAAGATCCAGGCATTTCTTCTCTGGAGACTATTCCGCACCCCCATAAGACATCATGCGGGGCTCTGGCACCAAACTGCCTGCCCAGGAGCTGGGAGGCCCAGAGTCCAGGCCTACCCTGGCTTTATAGTGTACTCCGTGGCTTTAGGAAGTCCTAGGGCAGCCGAGAAGCTGGTGAGAGGAGGGAGTAGTGGCTGCTCTCAGGCAGGCCGGCCGGCCTGGCTTCGTGCTGTCCTGTCTCAGCAGCTATCTGGTCTCACTCATAACGCTAATCTCCTGGTGTTTTTCTAGGTTCCCTTTTCCAGCGCAGGCAGCAAGAGTGTCCACCCGCCATGGGGGCTCTGGGCAGGATATCATCGTATACTGTAAGTTTGCTATGAGACACTACAGTATAGATGATGTACTATCCTGAGCTTCACCCCTCAGCCAGGAGCTCTACTGCAGGTCCAGCGTACGGGAGAACGCCTGGCCAGCTGGGAGCAGTGGCCCAAAGCGCTTCTAGCACAGCACAAGTTCCTCCCCCTCCCACAGAGGGGTGGAGGGCTAAGCACTGTGGGGGGGCAAAAGCCTCCCATGAAGGCCTGGCCCTGCCTGTGGCAGCCTCACCCCTTCAGCCTCTTCCTGCATTCAGGGAACTCCTTTTCCCTGGGTTTCCAGTGTGGGACGGAAACAAGCGCTACCTTCGCTGCTGCTCTGGAACACCTGCATGAACAGGCTGCAAGTGGGGAGGCAGCCAATGGGAAAGAGGGTTAACAACCATTCCTCCCGCCAGGCTGGGAGGCCCTGCCCTGCTAAGCCATGGGGGGTGGGAGAGGGAAGATTCCACTGCCGCATGGGCAAGAAGCCGCTTTCAGAGTTGGCGAAGGCACCTGCCAAGAAGCTGAGCCCATGGGGCGTCAATGAAACCGTTACCATTACTGACTTTAGTAATGGTAACGGTTCTACTGCCGCCCCAGCATCCGGCCAGCGAGAGCAAGAGGAGCAGCACCCCATTGCCGGGGGGAGCAGCACCCCTCCAGGGTGCCAGCCTCATTCTATATGCATCCGAAGAAGTGGGCTGTAGTCCACGAAAGCTTATGCTCTAATAAATTTGTTAGTCTCTAAGGTGCCACAAGTCCTCCTGTTCTTCTTTTTGCGGATACAGACTAACACGGCTGCTACTCTGAAGCCTCTATGGGAGTCCAGCAATGAGACCCTCCCCCCACGTCCTCTCCAAGCTGTAGGGGGGAGAGCTTGGGGTGCCCTGCCTGGGGGTCACATTCCCTTGGGCCAGACCCCCTCTCCCTAGTCCCTCTGCCAATCAATGAGAAATAAAGGTGTTTTCTTTGATGTCTGGATTTCTTTTCCCTATTTGTATAATCCCAGAAAACAGCCCTCCAAAGGTAGAGCCCAGCACTGGTGCTGCCTCTGCCCCTTGCAGGGTGGGGGGCAGCGAGTTTCCCCTCCTGGAGTGAGACCGAGCACACGAGGAGAAACCTGCCCTGGGAGCTCTGTTCTTCTCTCCTAGAACCTGCACCCGGTGTCTCCGTCTGCCATGGTGCTGGCTACAAGCCTGCAGCGAGAACCAGCAATTCAGGCAATTCATTTAGCTGCTCAAGGGGGGAAGGAAAGGGTGGTATAAAAAGTACTCAGCAGTCTGCTCCCCTCTAGTGAGGCACTCTGCTCCTGCCATGCAGCCCCCCTGCTCTTCTGTTCCTGGCCTTCTCCTTCCTTACTCCACTGCCCCATTGCGTATCCTCAGCTCGACGCCGGACAGGTAGGAGCTCTTGTGCTCTCCCCCAGCTCAGTACCCCCTCCCTCTGGGGGTTTGGGCACCTCACTCACCTCTCTGTGCCTTGGTCTCTATCCAGCTGGAAAGACGATTTTCCCCGCTCCCCGCAGGGGGGTTGTGAGGCTAAGCAGGATTTCAGGGGTGAGAGATGGCCAAACCCCTCTGCCGGGTTCCTCCTTCAGAGAGAGGCCATTCTCTCACTAAGGAAAGGTGATTGGATCATATGGGACACTACCACCTGCTGCTCACCGCATGCTGGCTGCATGGATCACCTGCACGCCCGGGGCCCTGTCCCCCTATTCTTCCAGGTGGTGCAGTAAATAAAGGCAGTGGGGCAGGATCAGGCCAGCACATGGCAACTAGTCCTTGGCCAGACACAACAATGCTACCATGGGGGCAGGTGGGTCAGCAGCCCGCTGTGCCTGCCAAGCACGGGCCTGGGCAGATCTAGGCTGGGCGTGTATCAACACTGATCTTGCTGGGGGCATTGAGAGTTTACGGCCCTGCAGGGCAGAGGTGGGGATGCTGGGGTGGGGTGGGCTGGGGAGCAGCAGGGCCCTGGCTGAAGGTGAGCATCACAGGGTCCAGAGCTGGGGGGTTCTGCAATGCAAACAGCAACACAGTCGTGGGGTGCGTTAGCTGGGGGAGCATCTGTAGGTCCACGAATTGCTGGGGGCTGCAGGAGCTGAGGGGTAGGGTGACCAGACAGCAAGTGTGAAAAATTGGGACAGGGTGTGGAAGGTAATAGAAGAAGCCTATATAAGAAAAAGCCCCAAATATTGGGACTGTCCCTATAAAATCAGGACATCTGGTCAGCCTATGAGGTGGGGGTTTGGGGGAGGTCAGGGGGCACTGGAGGAGAACTGGGCGGGGGTAGGGACCATGGGGGCTGTAGGGGGCCCTGGGGGATCCGAGAGGATTGCACTGGATCGGGGGGGGGCTGTAGGGAGCTGAGGGATTGCAGAGGGCCTGGGGGGCTGTAGGGGCCCTGGGGGGGCTGTAGGGGCCCTGGGGGGCTGAGGGGATTGCGGGGGGTCTGGGGGGGCTGGCTGGGCCCTGGGGGGGCCGACGGGGCCCTGGGGGGCTGAGGGGATTGCGGGGGGTCTGGGGGGGCTGGCTGG